TGAGTCCAAGGCCACCCTGCACTACATAGTGAGAGCCTGCCTCAAAACAAAACAAAACACACACATATACAAAAAAAAAAAAAATCCAAGCCAGGTGTGGTGGCGCATGCCTGTAATCCCAGCACTTGGGAGGATGAGGCAGGAGGATCATTGAGAGTTTAAGACCAGCCTGGGCTACAAAGTGAGCTCAAGGCCAGCCTGTTTTTTTGTTTTTGTTTTTTGTTTTGCTTTGGTTTTTTTTGGTACCAGGAATCGAACTCGTGACCTTGTGCTTGCCAGGCAGGCGCGATTCCACTGAGCTATATTCCTGGCCTCTCAAGGCCAGCCTGAACTGCATAGCAACACCCTGTCTTAAAAAGACAAAAAAATTCAAAAATCCAAAAATTTTAAGTGCTAACATGGCACCACATGTGGAAATCTCTGTACGTAACCCATGTGACAGGGTGCAGTCAAAACACAGTCCTACTAAACATGTATAAAATTACCCCCAGGCCAGCGTGGGCAACTTAATGAGACCCTATCTCAAAATAAATAAAATGCTGGCTGGGGATTTAGCTCAGCGGCAAAGCGCCTGCCTGGCAAGCGCAAGGTCGTGAGTTCGGTTCCCGGTACCGGAGAAAAACCAAAAAAAAAAAAAAAAAAACATTGGGCTGGGGATTTAGCTCAGCGGCAAAAGCGCCTGCCTGGCAAGCGCAAGGTCGTGAGTTCGGTTCCTGGTACCGGAGAAAAACCAAAAAAAATAAATAAATAAATAAATAAATAAATAAAATGCTGAGGCTATAGCCTCATGCTTCCTAAATTTAATTTCCAGCAGCACATACACATACAAAGTACAATCAGGTAGGAGACATTTCACATAAGGGACACTTGACCCATGTCAGATATTAAGGTTTCCAGTATTGCTGAAGGTTCATGTAGAAAGCTTTGACTAATTGGGTGTGTGTGTGTGTGTGTGTGTGTGTGTGTGTGTGTGTGTGTGTGTGTGTGTGTGTGTGTGTGTAGAGGGAATCTAATCATACCTCTGTATCAGGCCTCCTTTTATTTAGCCTGCGTGCCTATCTGTCATCCATCTATCTGTGTCTGTCTGTCTGTCTGTCTGTCTATCTATCTTAGTTGAGAAAGGGTCTCACTGGGTCACTAAATTGCCCAGGCTGGGCTCATATGTGCAGGTCTTCTGTCTCAGCCTTACTGAGTGTTGGGGTTTTAGGTGTGCAGCACCATTCTTGTCTTAGGCCTCCTTCTTGAACACATTCTTTTAGTCCTCAGCTGTGTGGGACTTTTCACCCACAGTCTAAAGTGAGTTCTTCAGGAGCAGTCTTAAAGCTAGTGCCACCTGGTCACTGGCGTGTCCTATGTGCCTAAGGGTGGTGGGTGGTGAGAAGGAACTGCCCAGAATCCTGGCCGAGGGCGGCCTGCAGGAGGTCACTGGCATTGTCTCTGCCTCCTCTCTCTTCCCACCCACTGATTCCTGCCCAGAAGATATCCTTGGCCCTGCTGTATAGCGAGCACCAGGCCTGACTGCTCTTCTGGGGTGAAAACAGTTTTCTGTCTGAAATGCTGGCATGTAGCAGTCGGTGGTTAGTTTTTCATGTCTGTATTTGGCAGAGCTCATAGTTGCAGTCCTACATCTGCCCCACACTTCCTCTTCATTCCCTCTCTTAGTTCTGGCTTTAATGTTGCTGGTGCACTTCCATCTGAAGTCACAGCACCACTGCTATGTTCGTGTTGGTTTCAGCAAGATTCAGTGCACACGTGCACACACACCCATCCCTTGACACATCTGCCTTCAATAGGTATTGATGTCTGAAGCTTAATTTCTGGTTGAGGCATTGGGGTTCCATAATCACAAGGCTCTCTGCCTCACTGTCACCCCAGCCTAGAGAGTTGGTAGCAACATGAGGAATATGCTGAGAGAATTTGAGTGTGAGAATACATGCATGTGTGTATACATGTGTATAGTGTGTTATGTGTGCATGTGTTCATAATTTATATATTCATGTGTACATGCATGTGAGTGAATGCATCCATATGTGAGACTATATGCATGTGTGAATATGTGTAATTATGTATGAACTTGTATGTATATGTATTTGCCTGTGAAAGTACACACATACATGTTGTGAGAGAAGTACATAAGTACAGAAAGTGGATATATGTCTGTGAAAGCACATGTATGTATATGTGTATGCATGTGAGAGAGTACATGGGATGCATGTACATGTGTGAGGGGCAGGGTGGATATGTATTTGCATGTTTGTCTTCTTGTGTGTTGTTCCCCTCTGGGAAGCAGCCTGGCAGAGGCCTTAGCTCCTGCCTTTGCTTACCCCTGTGGCCATGTCTGAGCGAGGTCTCCTGTGGCCCCCTCTGCAGGTTCTCCCACGGACAGGTGGTCTCTGTCGATGAGCTGCGCCCCTTCCAGGACCCAGACCTGAGCTTGCTGCAGGCCGGCTCTGCATGTCTGGCAAAGCACCAAGATGGCCTCTGGCACCCAGCACGAATCACTGGTGAGGCTGGCCATAGGGACCTCCCTGAAGGGGCTCTACTGAGGCAGGCCCTTCCTGGAAAGCCCCCTCTGCTTTACACTCCTGCCACCGCTGGGTTGGTCACTGGGACCCTACCTGAACCCAAGAGGAGTGAATCTAACCTCAGCCCTAGCTTCACCGAGCTCCTCACTTCCCATGGGGCCCCTGACTGGTGACCCCACCCCTTGAGGCTGCTGACTGCAGTCGTTCTCTGTCTTCTGTAGATGTGGACAATGGCTACTACACCGTCAAATTTGACTCGCTGCTACTGAAAGAGGCTGTGGTGGAGGGAGACAGCATTTTGCCCCCACTTCGGACAGAGGCTGAAGAGTCCTCTGACTCAGACAGTGGCGATCTGGGTGGCTCCAGCTATGCCAGAGGTATGACAGCAGCTCACTGCCTAGAAGCCAGAAAGGTGGGGAGACTAGGGAGGGCGTGACAGAACAGGGCAAGAGATCCAGCCTTTGCCTTTGAGAAGGAGCACCTGCAGCAGTCACAAGCTCCCTGGTATGGGTGAGTTGCCACGCTGTGGGGGGCGGGGACTGCTAGTGACAGAGCTGCCAAGATCTCACAGGAGGTAACCAGACAGTTGGGTGTGTGTGGTGTGCAGGAAAAGGTGGCCCCTTCAAATGGGTTCCCAGACTTAGAGCCTGGCTGCCAGGTGAGTCAGGGCAGAAGGGACCCTGGCAAATCGAAAGTGTGTCCAGACAGCCGGGCTAGAGCTGTCAGGAAGGAAACTAGTGGGTAGTGTCCAGCCCTTCTGAGGGTCTGGTTAGGATAAAAGCAGGGAGGTGTCCCTAGGTTGGGGTATGAATTGGTGCCCATGGTGACAGTTATGAAGCCACAGTGCAGCTAACTTGCCACCTGGCACTGCTGGGAGCACCCACAGCAGGCCTGGGAGATTTGGCAGGGGACCAGAAGTGTAGAGGATCAGGGCCCTGCCCCAGAGCTGAGCTCTTGGACAACATTGGCCAGACCCCAGGGTGCCATTCAGAGTCCTCTGGCTTGGTGGAGCACTGCCTTTTGTCTCATGCAGTAGTGGAATCAGGCACCACGGATACTGGGACCTGCAGTTCCGCCTTCGCTGGCTGGGAGGTGCACACACGTGGCATTGGCTCTAGACTCCTCGCCAGGATGGGCTATGAGTTTGGCAAAGGTATGTGCTGCCGGGAGGGGGCGGGGTGCTACTGCAGGGCAGTCTGGGTCCTGCAGCAGCAGCAGCAGCAGCATCTGTCCTGCATCTTCCCCAGGTCTGGGCCGACATGCAGAAGGCCGGGTGGAGCCCATCAGTGCGGTGGTGTTACCTCGTGGAAAGTCACTAGACCAGTGTGCAGAGATCCTGCAGAAAAGGACCAAGGAGGGGCAGGCTGGTGCCAGCAGGCCTCCAAGGTGCCGGAGGAGGAAGGGTAGGCCTGGGAGCCGCCCGCCCCCTCGGAATGTATTTGACTTCTTGAATGAAAAGCTGCAGAGCCAGGCTCCTGGGGCTCTGGAGGCTGGGGTGGATCCCCCCGGAGGGAGGAAAAGCAAGGACATGTACCATGCCAGCAAGAGCGCCAAGCAGGCCCTGAGCCTGCGGCTCTTCCAGACCGAGGAGAAAATTGAGCGGACCCAGCGGGACATCCGAGGCATCCAGGAGGCCCTTACTCGGAATGCTGGCCGGTATGTGTGGGGGCCCAAGGCCAGGGTAGCCATGCCCGAGGACAAATGTGGGAAGTCACCTGACCCTAGAGTGGCAGCTAAGTCTGAGGAGGTCTGGATCTGGAGGACGGGCAGTGGCTGCAGCAGCTGGGGGTCCTGGTAGCCATGCTGACTGGCAGGCCCTCCGTAGGCACAGCGTGGCAGCAGCCCAACTGGAGGAGAAGCTGGCGGGAGCCCAACGGCAGCTGGGGCAGCTCCGGGCTCAGGAGGCAGGCTTGCAGCGGGAGCAGCGGAAGGCAGATACCCACAGGAAGATGACAGAATTCTAGAGGCCTTACAGACCCCATGGACAGAGCCTTGGCTGCCTCAGCAGGAAGACCAGCCATCATCCCGACACCCCTGAAGCAGGACCAGGCCATTCTCAGACTGCCCCACATCAGCCTGGCTAACCTGAAGCATGTGGACACTGCTGTGTGGAGACAGATGGGCTGCAGGATCATTCTAGACACTTACTTGCCCACCTGCCAGTGTCTTGGGGCATCTTCCTCCCAAGGACATTAAAGTGATTTTATTACTGTGTCACTCAGTGGAGACTCAGCTGGCTGCAGGGTCTCTGGGGAGAAAGGGGTCTACATGGGGTCATGGTCACAGACAGGCTGGGCTGGAGGGGCCCAAGAAAGGCCACCGCTCCTGCCCAGGGTCACAGGGTCCGGGAAAGCAGCATTCTCCCTCCCCTCCTCTGCCGTAGCAGGGATGAGCCCAGAGCGCCCCCATGGTGCCCAGCTGGAGGAGTGAGATGGGCCCTTGGACAGCAGAGTTTGTGAGGCAGGTTTGGGGTTGGCAGTTCAGTGCCAGCGCTTGGTGGCTGCTGATCATCCACTGGACCTGCTGTGTGCCTTGTCGGCCCTGTCTCCCCATCTACTACGGAGAGGACGTGAGTTAGGCTTTCAGAACACTGGCTTGTGGCACACAGCGAGTCACAACTACACCTTGGGTGGGGCTGTAGCGAGTGGATGAGGCTGAGTGGTGGCTGCAGCAGGAGCAGCTGCAACTAAGGGTTGCGTGGCTGGTGGAAGGTGCTGAGACGGGCAGGAAGTGAGGTGAGGCGCTCACTGAGGACCCACAGAGACCTTCCTGGCTGCCCCAGACAGTGCTAAGGAGGAGCTGTGCTGTGGCCTTGGTAAGTTCCTGCTCTGTCCTCCAGTAGGGGCAGGTTCCCAAGCCCCTTGGCACTCCTGGGGCCTGCGAGGGCACTAGGACCTGGCTATGTCACGGTTAGTTGTCTTGCCCCCACCTTCATGCAAGGAACCTACTCTTCCAGTCTGTGTAGACTCACTCTGACCTCCAGAGACCATCCCCCTCTCTAGCGCCTGCAAACTCTTGGTAGGCCCCAATCTGCTAAGAACGGCCCTAGGAAGAGTGTAGATCCTGTGGGGAGGCAGGAAGGAGTGGGGGCACGCATGTCCTGCTTTCTGATCCCTCCACCTCAGCTTCTCAGGGGGCCAGGCTCTGCAGTCAGTGGCTTAGGGCACCACTGTAAGTAAGGGGCTGCACCTGGGTAGAGGGCTATAAATGAGCTTTGTGAGCTGTGGCTCACAGGCCTGGGGGTGTGACTTCAGGGTCTTCCCCAGACCTTAGGTTTAGGCTGTAGTGACCAGAGCCTTAGTGAGGTCACAGCTGCCCTGGCCATACTCCCCATCTCCATTGCTGCTGTCTCACTGTGCGGGGGTATACAGAGCTTCAAGCAGTCAGACAGAGGCAGGAAGGTAGGCGCCCCTCTGCAAAAGCAGGGCTGCAAGGACTGGGGGTTTCCGGTGTGCTGAGTCAGAGCCAGGGGAGACGCCCCAGGGGGGCGGGCGTGAGCTGCACAAGTGGAGCAGCCTGATCTCTCAACCACCACCCATGCCCCTCTCTTCTGCCCCCAGAGCCCTGCTTCACAAGATGGGGCCACCAGTGCCTGTGTCCCTGCCAGCCCTCTGGGTCCTAGGGTGTTTCTCCCTGCTCCTTTGGCTGTGGGCGTTGTGCACAGCCTGCCACAGGTATGTTCATCTTGCCTGCGTTCCTTCTGGGCCCTCACCCTCTGTGGGTGAAGTTACTAGAGGCAGGTCCATGTTAGAACCACACCTCCACGTGCAGCTGGCTACTCCTGCCTCTGCCCCTGCCCCCTGGCCTGATGATACTCTTGCCCCCAGGAAGCAGGTGCAGAGCCACCAGGCAAAACGACAGGACACTGTGATGCTGGCAGAAGCGGTGAGTGCCTGCTTGTCCTCGGGGCTAGGGTGGGGCCAGCAAGGGACCGATCAGCCTTCCTTGCCCCCAGGCACTGCTGAGACAGACCCACCTCTGCTCCCTCAGCACATCCGACACCAGGCTACACGAGCTGCACCACGGTACCCGTGTCAGCAAAGGTGAGGTGCCTACCGGGACACAGGGAGGGGCTGCCTGCAGCTTGGGGCCTCACCTGCTGTCCACCCCTAGTGACTTCAGGCCTGCCCTTACCCATAGCCCTGAGGCCTGCCAGCATGGATCTCCTGCACTCACACTGGCTAGAGGTTTCCAGGAGCAGCAGCAGGCCACAGGCAGCCCCTTCTGTCTTCCCACCTCAGCAGCCTGGGGCTCCTTCTGCCTCTGCCATCACACTGTCCACTGGTCCTGGGGCCACTTATTCCAATGTGGGGCTGCCTGCCATCCCCAGAGCTAGCCTAGCTGCCAGCCCTGTGGTATGGGCAGGGACACAGCTGACCCCAGGGCCTGGGGCCAGACCTGTATTGGCTGAGTATGCCTCCATCCAGAAGCTCAGAGGGACAGATCCAGGCCCCCAAGAACTGCAGCAAGGGAAGGCTAAGGTGATGCCAGCTGCACAGGTAAAGGGGGCCTGAGTCGGCTGTGGCAGGGGGCTGGGCAGGCCCTTGGCAAAGTGGATGGTGAGGACCTCACCTTGGGTCTGCTCCCTCTTTCCAGGTGGACGTCCTGTACTCCAGGGTCTGCAAGCCTAAAATCAAGGACTTGGGACCCACTGCAGACCACCCAGACTGCATGGGTACAGAAGCGATTCTGGCCCTGGAGAGAGACTTGGCCTATGAGCCCCTCCCGCTTAGGCGCCTGGGCATGGACAGCAGTCCCCTGGAAAATGTGTACGAGAGCATCCGGGAGGTGGGCGCCCGGGCAAGTCCAGAGCCCCCCAGTCTGCCTCTTAGCATACGTGGACATTCTAGACCACCAAGACCTCTAGGCAAGGTTTGGAGACCTCTGTCCTGAGCACTCAGCGCTTGGATTCCTTCCTCCAACTTGAGCCTCCAGCCGCGAGCTGA